TATATAATTTTATAATTTTTTTTTATTTTTATATTATTAATTTTTATCAATTAAATATAAAAAAAAATGATAATATTAAAAATTTAATATTTTATTTTTAATAGAGCTTTATTTAAATATAATAAAGAAATATATAATTATAATTATTAAAAATTAAATTTTCTATATTATATATTTAATAATATATATTAAAAATAAATATATATATTAGTAATATATATATATATATATTTTTAAATATATATATAAATTAATTATTTTTATATTTAATTTTATTTTAAATATTTTCTTAAATTCCTTTGTTATTAATTTTATTTATTTTAATTTGTATTAATAATTACTATTTGTTTATATTTTTTATATTTTTTTTTTTTTTTTAATAATATTTAAAATTTAATTTTTTTTTTTTATTATTATTTAATTTTATTTTAGAAAATTTTACTTTTGTTTTTCTAACAATTATATTTAATTTTATTTATTATTTTAATTTTTATATATATTTTTTTTTAAGTTATAATTTTACATTATTTTTATTTTTATAATCAAATAAAAATAAATATGTTTAGTATTTAAGTTAAATTATATTTTTTTCATAATACTAATTTAAAAATTAGATTTTAATTATATTTATTGTTCTTACATAAATTTTTTTTTATTTTTAAGATTAATTTTTTTTTTATAACATTTATATTAATTTATCAATTTAAAAATTAATTAATAATATTTATTCATATTTTTTTTATATATATTAATAAATATATTTTTTTTTTCATTAAATTGATATGAATAATGTAATACTATAAATAAAATTACATAATAAGTATTTTATATTTCTAACTCTTAATTTATTATCCTTTTTATTTTTCTAAATCTTCTATTTTTTTTAATTATTTTTATTTTATATCAGTTTTTGTTTTTTTTTTTACCTATTTTATTTAGTGTTTTTTAACTTATTTCGAAATATAAATATCACTTTATGTTTTAAATTATTAGAAATCATTTTATATTAGTTTATATTTATTATTCGAGAATTTTATTTTTATGTTTTTATTTAAATTGACATTTTATTTCTTTACTTTTTTATTTTTAAGAAAGTAATGTTTATTAGATTAATTATTATACCATCATTTATTTTATTTTAAATTCTATATTAATATATTAAATATTTTTAATTTTATTACTAAAATTATTTTATTTATTTATTTTTTCTTATTATATTTATTTAGTTTTACCTTTGTATTATTTTTTTCATAACTTTTTTATTCATAACATTAATGTAATTTTTTAGAAAATTTAAAATTAATTTTATTATTTTTTAGCCCGAAATTATAATGCTTTTCTTATAATTTATTTTCTAAAATTGTTTATTTTTTTTAATCAATTTTATGTTATAAATTTTATGTTTTCAAAAGGAAAAGGAGTGCTATTTGGGATTTATTTTTTGTTTTAAATACTATAAAAGCTGACTATTAATAATCTTTTTTATTATTTAATTCAAATTTTAATATTTTCCATATGTATATAGAAATTGTTTTTTATCAATATATAATTATAATTAAATTTTATTAATTATTATTATTTTTTTATTTTATATTTTTTTAATAATTAAAAGAAAAAAAAGAAAATAATGGAACTTCTTTTTTTTAAATTTATAATAAATATATTTAAAAAAAAAAATCAATTTTTTCTTCTTGTATAATGATCATATAAAACAATTTATTTATAAGATTCTGCTTTAATTTCATGTCTTTGTGTATTATCTTCTTCTTTTTTTTTGGGATCAACATTAATAACTTTCCTATCTCTTTTATTTCTAAAAAGTAAGGCTTATTATTAACTATTAGCATCGACTTTAAAATTAGGCGAATCATTACTTACACACATGCTAGTTTTCCAATTATAATAACTCAAGTCAGTAGTCCTTGGTAAAAGTTTTTTTTTCCCTTCAAAATACGGTTTAAAATCTTCTGTTTTAAGCCTATGTGCATAATCAATATACCCACTAATTTCTGAGTTTTTAGATTCAAATCTAATAAAAATAATCGTCAATAATTTACCATTCAAAACATCTTACTCTCTTGCTGCTAAAGCTTTCAAAAAATCACACTTTTCAAGGGCTGCTTTATTTTTTATTTCGGTATGAGCAAGACTTTTTGTCTTGTCTTTATTTTGATTGTTTTTAGCCTCTTTGGCAGCTTATTTTTTAGCCTCGAATTATTCTCGAGTTAAAATTTCGGTTTTTGCATTATGATTATTTTATTCACGGAGTTAGCGGGCTAATTCACGGTCTTCTAAATAAAACATATCTTCGGCTGTTATGTGCTCGTCTAAATATTATTCATATGTCTCGAATTTATCTAAAGATGTATCATAGAATTCGGATTCGAAATCATCGGCGATCATTTTTTTGTTTAATTTTTTAAATTTATTATATTTTATATATATATAAAGTTTTTTTATTTCTTTTTATTGAATATAATTAAAATTATTATTTATATATATATGTTTTATATTTTAAATCAATTTTTTTATTAAATAATAAGAAAATTATTATTAAAAATAAATAATATATTATCTTAAAAATAAAATATACTATAATTAAAAAATTCATATCATTATATATGAAAAATTAAATTGTTAAAAAATTAGAAGTTTAAAAAAAAAAATTGAGAAAAAAGTTATATATATAATATATAACTTAAAAAAAAAATTAATAAAAAATGTAATAATAAAATAAATATTAATATAAAAAAAGAAATCTAAAATAAAAAAATAAGAAAGTAAAAAAGTTATAAATAATATATATATAAAAAATATATATAGATATATATATATATATATATATATGCATCTAAATAAATATATATATAATTATATATATATATAAATATTTAAATAAACATTTGTATATAATTTTTCATAATTATTTAAATGTATATTTAATATATATATATATTTTCAATATAATTTTTCGTTTTCAATTAAATTTTTAAAAGGAGAAAAATTATTATTTTTTTCAATTAATTCTGTGTATTTGTCATTTTTTATTTTGTATTCTATAATATAAAATATTTTAAATTTTTGAAAAAATCAATATTTTTTTACCATCAAAATTTATTTTTTAATCTTGACATTTTTTTTCTAAGTCTTCAACTTATAACATAAGCTATTTTTATCTTTACTTTATATAATTTTAAATAAAACAAAAATATTAAATTTTACATTTAATTCGTCTCTTTATTTAATTAAAATAGAAATATTATTATCTTTATCTTAAAGAAGATTAGAAAAAAAATCAATACAACTTTATTCATTTATTCCATATTTATTCTAATTAACAGTAATTTATTTTATTTATTTATTTAAAATCTTCTATAATTTAGTTTTGTTTTGCTATTTTTTTTTCCAAAATATCAACTAATTCATTTAATTATACTATTTTTCCTACACTATCTATTATTTATTACATATATTTATATTGTTTCAAAAAAATAAAAAACCTTTTTATTTCATTTCATTAATTAGATCTTATAATTCTTCTATTCTGTTTTTCAACTTTAATATAATATTCCCTTGATTTTATTATAGTTTATTTTAAGATAAATCTAATTCATTTATATCTAGAATCTCAGAATATACTTCCATCTATCCTTTAATTCTTTAAATTTCACTAATTAATTCTTATATTTATATGTGTAAATTTTCATTTTGAATTCCTAATTCTCTCCTTTCTTCTAATGCAAAAGACATTTATTCAACTAAAAATTAAGCAGCATCTTGTTTAACTTATTCTTCGAATATAGAAATTAACTTACTATTATATTCATTAATTCGACAATCGTTTTGGAATATATTTATTAGATATTCTCTACTTAGCGACTAAGTTATAATTATAAACCTTTAATTTTTTCATCTTTTTGTTAATTTTCTAATAATAATGATGACCAGATTTTTTAACATTCATTATTTCTGTTCTCATATTCTAATAACTATTTGTATAAATATATATATATGATAAAATTTAAAATATATTAATATGAAATAAAAAATATATATTATTATATGTATTAGTATATATATTCAATATTATTATATATATATTCAAATATTAATATATAAATATTTATATATTTTATAATTTTTTATATTTTTTAATTTTTTCTATTTATCAATTCTATGTGTAATTTTTTTTTTTTTAAGTATGTATTAATATAATAATTATATTAAAAAATAAATATTTTATAGTAATTTTCATATTATTTATAAAATTACTTATTTTTTTGCTATTATTAATTCTTTTGATTGATGTTCTAGTAATTATATTTAGTTATTTGAACTTTTTTATTTATATGTTTATTTATTTAAGTTTATATATTATTACTTTAAGTCTTTCGGATTTAAGAAATAATTTTATAAAGTTGTTTTTAATTATTATATTTCATTATCTTTTTATAAAAGTAGTTATATTAAATTTTTTATTTCAAACTGTTTTTTTTTATAAAATAATTATTAATTACATTATTATAAATATTTTGAATAATACATTATTTTCTTTTAATTTATTAGCCCAATCTTAATCTAAAACATCTTTCATTTTAATATTTTAATTATTAAGCATTATATTTAATTTATCAACTTATAATTATAAACTAGTAGCATAAAGCTATAAGGCTTTTAATTTTGCTTTTAATTTATTATTTTCTTCAGTAGTTTCTTCTTATTAATTTAATAAATTTTTAATTTAGTTTTCTTTTTATAATAAATTTTCTTCTTTTTATAATAATATTTCATTTAAATTTATATTTTAATTTATTAATTCTTAATGATTTCCATTATTTTTACTCATAAATTGTTATTATTATTATTAAGTTTAAAATTCGTTTTTATTTAAAAACTATTATTAAGTTTGAAATATTTCATTTTTATTTAAAAATTATTATTCATTTTATTATTAAAAATTTTAGGTTTGACCGAATTCTTTGTTTCATTTAAAAATAAAATAAAAACAATTTTAAAATAAATATACATTTAGGAGATTAACTTTTAAAATTTAAATCAGTAACACAAATTCTAAAATCTCTTTCTTTTCGTGTTTCTTTATTAGATTAATCGTTATTTTAGAAAAATTTCATATTATTAGTATCTATATATATATATATTGATCATTTATTTATTTTAATATATGCATTTTTATTAAATAAAAATAACCTTATCCTATTTATATTACATCGTTATCTCTTATTTATATTTTTTGACCTTATTTTAGTCTATTTTCATTAACAAAAGTACCATTTAAAGAATCTAAATCTCTTATATAAACTTTTTAATCATCCGAAAATTCTATTATTGTATGTTCTTTGGAAATACTTGGATGCTTTTTAATTTTTTTTTTTTTATATATATATATATATATATATATATATATTTGTACTTTTAAAACAATATGACATTAATTAGAACGTCCTATTAAATTAATTTTATTTGAAAGTTAAAAAACGGTTCCATTTTCAAGTTTTAAAAGCCACTCATTTTTTATAAATAAAAAGTATTTTTTTAATTAAAAATTTAAATACTTGTGACAAAAAAAAAAATAGATAGTTTCAAAAAAAAAAAAAAAAAAACATAAAAATCATGATATATTAAAAAAATATAATCCATATAATATTAATATTAATCATAATAATTACAAAATCATTTTAAATTTAAATATTAAATGATCTCTTAGACTACTAAACAGAACAAATATGGCCAATATAATGCAAAACAGGCCCACAATCACCCATAAACATCGTAACATCGGATAAATTTAGTGCAAATTGTAACTAAAGCCCCTTATCTAACTAAATAAAAATAGATTTTTTAGATATAGAAGTATCGACAATCATAAAAGACTTAAATAATAACCTTTTAATATAAGGAGATTGGTCTATATTGTAAATTGGTGAAAATATGAATTATAAAGCAAAAGGATTTTATATAAAATGTCCTGCGGAACATACTATAGATAATATTTAATATCCTTTAGAATTATAAATTGAGTATTATTTACTTGAAAATTCTAGTGATGGAAATAATTTGGGTTTTGTGTCTATTTTTTTCGAATTAGATGAAGAAAAAGCAAATTCTTTTTGGAAAAAAAATGATTTTGCGAAAATAAACGAACCTATTTAAATAAATTTCAAAGAATTAGGTTATGAAATTCTTTCAAATTAGAATAAAGTATTTGTTTATACAGGAAGTTAAACTTTCGGAGAATGTAAAAAGGCTAAATGGGTCATTTTTTAATAACCTTTGTATATAAATATAAGAAATTTAAATATTTTTTAAAGTTTGTGGCAAAAAAATTTTTATTTTTCGAGTTATTTGGATGATAATAGGTAATTAATAATGAGAGGAAATAATAGAATTATAAAGATCTTTAAATAAGATTAAATTAATATTTATGCAGTTTGTAATTACGGAAAAAAAAATTTTATTTAATTTTTTTTGGGAAGTTTAGGCTTATTTTTGTGATTTATTTTTTTTGTAATTATTTTATAATAATTAAAAAAATAAAAAAATAAATTATATTTAATATACTGTGTTACATACAACGTTAATTTTTAAAGTTATATTGTATAAAAAATTTATTATGTTTATATTTAAATTATTAAAAATAAATATATATATATATATATATATATATATATATATATATACTTATATTATTTATTAACATTTTTATTATTCTTTATCAATATGCAACATTTAATGCTCTCACTAAAATTGCTTTATTTATTTATTTTTGCAAGAAAGTGGAATTAGAAAAATTTTTTTTTTTTTATTTTTTTTTTTATTTTTTTAAATATTAAATTATATTTAATTATAATCTAGAAATTTTATTATTTAAATAAATACATATTATAAAATAAAAAATTGAGTAATTTTTTATATAATAAATATTTTTTTTTTTGTAAATTTAGATGTATTATATATATTTTTTAATATTTAAAACTTATAATTATATTGTTAATGAAAACAAATTATTTAAAATATAACATTATCACAAATTTTTTTAAAATTTTTAAAAATAATAATAAATATTGTAAAAGTAAAAAAATATAGGTCTTGTAATATTTTGTAATGGATAAAAATAATTTTAGAAAATTATAAAGCTTTTTATTATATTTTAAAAATTATTTTATTAATACCGGTAAAATTAATATAAAAATAATTAATAATAAAAAAAGGTTTTGAAAAAAAATAAATATAAATTATATTATTAATATATAATAAACCATAAATATTTATAAAGAAATCTCGTAAAAAGTAAATAAATAACACAAAGTGAGAAAAAAAAAAATGATGTTAATGATAATTCAATATTATAGTTAAAAAAAAAAAATGTATTAAATTTAAATTTT